TCAGTTGGAATTGGAGTCACATCCTCTGGAAAAGAGAAGATATTGTCAAGATTATAGGCAACATCTAAAGAGACATTGAAAAATACTTGTGAATGGTGAATGTGTTACCAATGCGACCAATTTTCATTCCTGAACGAGCAAGTGCCCTGAGGGCTGACTGAGCACCAGGTCCAGGAGTCTTGGTTTTATTCCCTCCAGTAGCACGTAGCTTGATATGAAGGGCAGTGATTCCAAGTTCCTGTCATGCATCAAAACTACAACATGTCAATGCAAATAATCATTATGTGGATGTATATGAAGTAAAACTTTGGAATTAAAATGACAACATTTTGATTAAAAAACAAAAAGAGAAGAATGACCTTGCATCTCTGGGAAACATCTTGTGCTGCAAGCATGGCTGCATATGGTGATGACTCATCCCTGTCAGCTTTCACCTTCATACCACCTAAATTTATTTCATTCAGCAATGAAATTAAAATTTCAAAAACTATGCCACTGCATAACCAGTAAGAAAAGATGGATGGTCTCATGATTCACAGAGGACCTCCAGATACTAAAAGCCCTGATACTATACAGATTTAATGACATCATGATGCAAGAAAGCTACACCCAATATAACATTTAAGAGAATTCTAGCTCAACTAAATACCAGCGAGCTAAGATATAAACTAAAAGCATCATAGTATATATTGGAACCCACCAGTAATGCGAACCATAGTTTCTCTTCCAGACAAATCAGTCACATGCTACAATGTTAGAACCAGAAAAGAAGAATGAGGAAAATGTCAAAACAAAATAACCAATTAAATAAACTTTTAAAGACGAAACAAATGAATGAACCATATACTTACAATAAAAGTGTCATTGAATGATGCAAAAATATGGGCAACACCAAAAACATGTTCTCCTTCACGTACAGCAGGTCCAAGAGTAATTTCTTCCTTTGGTTCTCTTACCTTCTTGCTCCTCGACTACAGAATACCCCATCAAGAGTTTACATAAGTACATGAAAGCAAATCAATTGCAACACTAGGGGGACCAATCTGCTACAAAAGTAAAACTCATTCTACATAATTTCTTAACATGTTCAACCCCTCAAATCACAGAACATAAAAATCTACCATTTTACATAATTCCACCCGTTCCTCCCTTTTTTTTAAAGATAAAAAGGCTGCTACTTTTATTCCATTTTGCCCTCATTTATCAGCACAATCCAGTAGATAGTCTCCTTAAGGAGATCCAGAAGCTTAAAAAACACAATGAAATCAAGATTTGTAGCTTCTACATTGACTCCATACAACATACCAATGCAAACAAAAGAAGAATAGATTTGCTTACCATGGTTAAAAGCACACAGGAGATAAAGAAGCTGCGGTGTGAAAGCGGGCAGAAGGGAGGAGCTTTCCGGTGACACAGAAGACCAAGGAAAGCTAAGAACTTTGATTTTATATGGGGTAAAGCGGCTAGGGTTTTAGGATGGCAAAATGTGAATCTCTGCAAAGACCCCGGGATTACGCATTTACATCTATCCGCCCCCTATACTTTTTTTCTTTTTAATTTTGCCCATTGGATTCTTGATTTGAAATTAATATTAGATATTAAACCCTTGCAGTTTTTTTTTCCTGTTATTTTGGTTGAACAATGAGAAGCAACGTTTTTTTGTTTTTTATCTTATTTTATCTACATGTCATGCGATTTAAATTAAAAAATTTTTTTAGTAAAAAATGATTACTATTAAATTATTTAGATTCTTGATAAACCCTTACAATATTAAGTAACTAATCATTAATATATAAAAAATGAAGAGTGATTCGTCCATGTTTTGTTATAGTTAGATCTGAACTAATCTTTTGATAACACATGTATCAGCATGTTACTAGCCCAACATATTGCCAATCACTAAACCTAGGACCCTTAACCACTCTTGGTCATAATTTGATTGGGCTGATTCCAAGTTTTGAACAGCCTGATATCAACCCAGCCTCCATGATAAAATACATAAAAAATAATAATAATAAATGGAAAGAAAAGTTTTCCTTTTTATCATATTTGGACCATCATACCTCTTTTTTTTCTTGGGCCATCTATCATATATGTCATAATGATAAAACATATAAACTATGATTAGATGTGCTCATTAAAAAATATATTTTAAATAAAAATCACTTAACAAATTTAATTATAAGAAAAAAACCCCTTGAAACAGCTCTTATAATAGGAAAAGTGTAGAAGTGCTAGATTTTTTTAAAAATTAAGAAGAAAAGAATTTTTTTAAAATTTTGTCATTTTAATAATTTTTTATTAAGATATTTATTTTTAAAACAAAAAAAAAACTCAATTAGCATTTTTTTATAATATGTTATTAAAATAACATAATTTTTTAATTCATTTTCTCTTAATTTTTCATAAATCTAACTCATTTATATTTACAATAATATTATAATTATAATATCATATAAAATTATAAGTTTATAATCTTAAATAATATTAAATTAATTTGACATAAAAATAAATAAATAAATATAATATTACAAATAAACTTTTAAATATAAAAAATTAATTATATAATAACATATTATAACATATATTTATAATATTATATAACTTTATAATTATAATATTTCTCATACATTTATCATCAGAATATTTAGGATGGGAAAAACAAACTTTATTCGATTAAAAAAAAAAAGAAAAAGAAAAAATAAACTTTTAAAAGAAAGGGTGAAATGAAACAAATGGAAGTATCTTGGTTTCTAATTCGGAATTTTCACCGGCGAATGTGCTATCGCCAGTCTAGATCCTGAATAAAGCCATCGACTTTTACCCCTCGAATTATGTGTTTCCTCTTTCCACCTCACTCCGATTTCCCCCTCGGCCCTCGGAGGACACAAAAGCAACACCGCCTCCACCCTTTTCCGTTTTTACCGGACCCGACACCGCAACAGCGACAGCCCCTCCAATCTCCATGGAACTCAATAGACCTTCCCGCTTCGGCCGCCGCAAATCCCCCTCCTCCGACCGCTTCCTCGCTACGTACCACCTTGTTTCATCAACATCTGACCACCCTTCCTCTTCCTCTTCCGCCGTCGATGAATTGAATGAGGATGATGTTTTCTTCTCTAACGACTTCTCCCCTGACCCCAACGACGGCAACCCCATCCACCCAAATCGACACTACCATCAAACGACCGCTCCTGTGTCTTCCTCTGCTTCCTTCCCCGGTTTCCAGCACCACCAGAAACCCTTTTCCCACTCCCAGAATTCCGGAATCCTCGCCGCTCTCCGGGACCCCTCCCGTCCCCAATCCAATTTTTATCAGAAAACCTCACTCTCTACGTCCACCTCTCCCGCTTCTTCTGTTTCTTGGCTTTCTTCTTCTCGCATGATTCCTTCCATCCCAAGGCCACCGCTTGAAAGATTGCCGCTTTCTTCTTCTTCTTTGGGAAGGCACCATCAATCGGCGCCGGTGAATGTGCCGCTGATGGCAAAGGCTGTGCGGAAGCACAGCGAGTTCGATGATGATTATGGCGAAAACGATGATGAGGAAGGGGAGATGCTGCCGCCGCACGAGATTGTGGCAAGGAATATGGCGCGGTCCCCTATGTTGTCATGCTCTGTGCTTGAGGGAGTCGGAAGGACCCTCAAAGGGAGGGACCTCAGGCAGGTAAGGAATGCTATCTGGAGACAAACTGGATTTCTTGATTGAGTTCAGGCCTAAGTGAACTCGATTTTCTTGTAGTTGAACGTGGAAGAAAACATTTTTCTTCTTAGCTTTTGTATTTTGTGGTTATGGACTGTGGATGTGTAAATACTCAAAGTGTTTGTGGACATTCTGGTTTCAATGGAGGTTATTCTGTACTTTTAGACAGTTTGCATTGTTTGGTTTTGGGATGAATTTAGAGGCAAAAAGTATTATTTTCAAAATGGCTATTATATAATTTGGGTTGCAAAATCTTTACAGAATTGGAAGCTTTAGCTTCTTTTCTTTCCATACCTTACTACCTGACCTGATTGGTTTGTGAAATTAGGTTGTTTGAGTGAAATTTAAAGTACTTTCCGCCAAAAAAAGGGACTTCCTTTACGGGTTTTATAGTGTTTAGGGAGGCTCTGAAGTGTCTATGTGAAGACTTGCTTATAATTTGGTGTTGCTTATCTTCCAAATAGTCAAGTTATAATAATGGTAACTTTAGATGTAAGTCCTAGAAATATATGTTTGAAATGGCACCGCTAGAGATTATTGATTGCCGACTGAATTTTTGTGGTTTTTTCTTGGTTCCTTGCTGACAAACTTTTCACCTCACATTTAAGAAGTTGGATGTATTGTTGTTTTCCTGAAGACAATTTTGTTAATGGTAAGGGTGATAGGAGGCTCAACATTTTCCAAGATGGTTTATGTGATATGGGGTGGTTTAGTGTCTGGATTCATGCCTTTCTTGGTTTTGGTACCAATTTGAATAAGAAAAGAAGGCTGGAGCTTGCAAACATTTGATAATTGATAAAACAATTTGGTTGAGGTATGAAAATTTTGGTCACTGAAGTCATTAATTATATATACATTCCCTATGAACTTCATACTGGAAACTGGCAAATAACAATTGTTGTTGGGATCTCTCATCCATGTTAAGCCTGATCAAAAGTCCTAATAGTCTCAAATCTAAAAGTCCTAATAGTCTCAAATCTAAAGTGACTTTTTTAAGAATTCAATCTACTAAGGAGTTCTAAAAGGCAAAGTTTTTACTTAATTTGGGTCTCAAACTGTAAAAATCCTTCATCTCTGTGTGCTCAAGTGTTGCTAAAGGTCAGGTTAGGCTGTTCTGTAATTAAGATTTAAACAAATAATGTCTCCAATTGGATGATGTGGCAGTTAAGCATAGTAATATTGTTATTAGTCTAACCTTGATCAGCCTGAGTAGGGCATATGGTCAAAAAATTGCTGTGGGATATAATCTGGTTTTGTGTTCATGGGAGAGAAGGCCATAATTAGATGTTAACTCTTACCCCCATTTGAGATGCTTCTCACTAATCTGAGGGTGTTCCATTGAGTTATCTCCTTCATATGATACTTGTTAGATCTTATTTAATCCTAGGCAGACAATAGAATTATCTTAAGTCATCAAAACACATTTGTTAGGTAGGATTTGGATGGTTGCTACAATTAATGCCATGAAGCTGAGGAAGTACTTGTTAGGGACAGCTAACTAATCCTGATGCGCAAGAGCGGCACTTATGGTTGAAATTGATGTGGGATGTGCCATTACTTGATGTTGTATTATGTCTAGTAGAGTTGCTATCAGCATTTGCATATATAGGCTTGTGATAGGATGCTTCATCATAATACAAGGGAAAAGGTCTTTCTATAGATTGTTGAGTCTGGTAACTTCAGTGGCAGTATGGAGAAAAGACCTTCATCATGCACGTTGCTGATGCTGAACGACCGCGACTGTCCACAACAAGAAAGTGGTGCTGCTCTTAAATTACCTGACCTAATCCAATGGCTTCATTATTTTCTCGGTTTCCAATTAAAAAGGAACCAGTCGGTGCTACATGTTCTAGGCAGGGACAAGTCCTCTTGGGAAATGGAGGCTCTGTGTTGACGGTACTTTAATTCAGCACATTCAGTTAGGTACCATCTACCTTGGCTTCTGCTGGATATATAAAAATATCAAAACATGTCGTACTACTTATTTTGTACCTTTGGAATTATAAGGAGTGATATATTCTCACTGATAATTAACTAACACTGCCTATTTCACGGATGTTCCTCACAAAAATTTTAGAATGTCATGCTATTGCTGAGTTTGGCTCTTTTAGGTACTGAAGAAGACTAATTTCATATTTCACAGATCATGCTGCAGGTTGCAGTGAAGCAAGGTTTGTGGTAGAACTAGTTATTGCGCAAACCTAATGATGTTTTTATATTTTGACTTAAACCATAGGTTATAATCTCCACTTTATTATAGATATATATATATATATTTATCAGTATGATATGAATCCTTATGTTAAGGAATATTCCAATTTGCAGTGAAAGATATTAAATGCTATGTCTGAAATGGCATACAGTGTAGTTGTTGCTGGTGAAACCTAAGAAAATGAGCATATTGTTGGTTTCATACATGGTCCATCCTGTAAATGGACACCCCTCATCCTTTGGGAGTGGGGGGCACTGCATCAATTATTTTACCGGTAGAGGATTCAGCTATTGTTCAGAAAAGCTACCCTACAATATTAATCCCTTGGACTTATCTTGTGGTCAAAAAACCCCCACCAAGTGTATTTATATAGATTAATATTTATTGTGCAGGTTTCATTTTATTTGTTAGGTACATTTAATATTTTATTAATAATTAAAATTTTATTAATAATTAAGATTTAAATTATGATGTTATTATGTTGTAATTTTTATTTTTTATTTTTAAATTATTCTTGTTTAAGGAAAATATTTATTAATAAAATTTGTAAAAAAAAAATTAAGTAAAAAACATTCAAAATTATTTCATGTTAATAGAACAAAAACATCAAATGGTCTAGCTTTGCACCCATGTGGCTACTATGATCATGCTCATAGTTGAGAAGCAAGTGAGGGCATCCTTAGTGATCTTCAAGTCGATTCTCATGTTCGAGATACTAATATTACCAATGTAATTCTTACTTAAAAAAAAAAAAAAATCAAATGGCCTATCTTTTATCATCACTTGTGTCTGTGAGAATCCTTGACAAATAGAAGTGCATACTAACTTGTGGTGAGTTCCTTTCCATTGGACACAGGGAATTATAATTTGACTCTGAAATAAATTATACAACCAACCACCCCACCTCTGCCTACTGCTCCCTCATTAAATATGCTCCTATATTTATAGGCAACCGTTTCCAACTTCACTCCATGGTTCACACTCATCGTCTCTTTCTTGTGTTAGCTTCCATGGCATTTCGTCTAGCTGTCTTGCTTCTCATTGCTCTTGTGGGAGTTCAGCTCTCTTCATGCCAAGTTTTGAAGGGAAAAATTTCCTGCCTTGACTGTGATCACCATTATGATCTCTCAGGTTGTTTCCATACCCTATCTTTTCTTTTTCGTTTTGAGCTGTTTAAGATTCAAAGAGTGTTTCAACTTTCAAGTTTACCCTATCTCAAGTTTGGTCTACGATTCTTTTCTTTTTTTCCTTTTTCTTCTTCTTTTTTGAGAAAAAAAAAATTAAATCTATGATTTGGAAGTCTCTGCTTAAATAATAGTTGGACTGTATCTAGAGGCCTATACACTAATGTAATAATTCCTAGTTGATGATGATGTTTGGGTTTCAGGCATTAAGGTTGCAGTGAAGTGTGATCAAGTGAAGAAACTGGTCATGGCAACCACCGGCGACGGTGGCTCCTTCACAGTTAACCTCCCGTCGTCCCACACATCAAAGCAGACAACACCAAACAACTGCCTGGCCAGGCTTCTAGGCGGTCCAAACCAACTCTACTCTAGCAAGAAAAACATTGTCTCCAAGGTTGTCAGGTCACATGAACACCCCAACTCCTACACCACGTCCGCTCCACTGGCCGTCTACGCTTCCTGCCCTCCAACCGCAACATGTAGGGCCGCAAAAGAGATCGGATCATCCAAGACCATTGATCTGCCAATTCCCCCAGAATGGGGGCTGCCACCTACTAGCTA